GGACTTGACTGGTTCAGGAGCAGACTCAGAGTTTGGGGTGGAAGCCTTTTGCACTGGGGCTCATTCTCAAGTCACGTGAAAGGTCTGAGCAAGCAGGGTGGGTGAACCATGCTGGCATGAATGACTGGCCTAGGAGGCCATCTGTGTTGAGGAAGAAGGGATTCAGCCTGTCTTGGGACTGGGAGCAAAGGCAATGAATTTTCCATTATTATACTCTTGATTTAAACAAGGGAGGAAGTGACAGAGTGAGTCCCTTTCCTGGGCCTCAGTTTCCCCATATGCTGTGTGTGGGCTGTGTCTGTAGAACAGGGCCAGACACATGGCGGAGGGAGGAAAGCTTCTCCCGCTGTTCTTTGCCATTCCTCTAGGACTTTGTTCTCCAGTGGGCTAGTCCCCTTAACAACAGCAATGATAAGGATAATAAGAGCAGCTGCCACTTACTGTGCATCTGCCATGTGCCAGAAAGCCCTGTGCAAAGTGTCTGACCTCGGTTAAATCTGTTACCAAGTTTGTTCCTCCATGTGAACACTTGCCCCAACTCATGTAGCTAAAGTGGTGGAACTGGGCCCAGGTCCTAGAACTCCCTGTTCCAGAGCCTGTGTTCTATTCGGTGTCATCACATATCACCTCCCCACTTCCCCTAGTTCTGGCCTGTCCCTGAGACTCAGCTCTGGTGCTCCTCCAGCCCCCCAGGATTGACCCAGCCCCTCTGATTTGTTCCTTCCTTCCCAGGCCTTGTACAGCTCCATCAAGAATGAGAAGTTGCAGTGGGCCATGTAAGTTCAGGGCTGGGTGGTGGAACAGGGATGGGGCAGGGTGAGTGGCTAGGGGGAGGTAGGCCCCACAAGTTCTGGAACCATGGGGGAAGGGAAGGAGGATAGGAGGCCATGAGAGGCAGTGAGGCTGTTGGACTTCCTTCTTTGGAGATGCCTGCCTGGACTTGGGATTCTGCCTCTTGTCTCTAGCTGGGTTGTTATGACAAGCTGGGCTAAGGTGGGCGGACACTGTTAGCTAGCCTGGAGAAGTGATGGTGAAACAAAAAAAGGCACTCCCTCAGCAACCCAGTGGGAGAACATTGGTATCTACAGGTAGAGCCCTGGCCAACAGAGGGAGCGTCCCCCATCCTTAAGTCCTAGGGAGTCCAGAGAGGCACAGCATAATCTTGGGAGTCCAGTGTGAGAGGAGGCCACTTGTCTTGGAGACTCCAGTAGGAACAGGGGTCCCTCACATGAAAGTTGATGGTCACTCTCATTTGTTGGCATTTGCTGGGAACTCGGGGAGTTCTGGTAGCATCCTCCAGGTAGCGTCCTCCATAGAAGAGTTGAGCTGGTAACCACAGGTCGTCAGGTACTTGACTGCACCAGCAGCTCCTCAGGGCAGTTTCCTCAGGAGTGATTTACAGCCTTGGAAATCCAGTGGAGTCAGAATTGACTCCAGAGCAATTAGAGAGTGAATGCGTGCTGAGAAGTGTGCCACTGCTCAGTTTAGTTAGGAGCTCCCCGATTGGCAGGGCTCAGGATCCTGGGAGGCTGCAAGGATGATTGACTTGATGGTAGAGAAAAGGGAAATAGGCACTTGGGAGGCAAAGGTGTAATGACTGGAATGAGTTGGGAGTGGGGAGACAGGATGCAGCAGGCCAGGCTGGAATTAAGGGTAGAAAGAAAAAGGAGGCATTGGTGGAGAGGAGGAGCCAGACTCTAAAATGAAGTGTCATCTCCATGAAGGAGGCAATAGGGAGCTACTGAGGGTTCTTGAGCAAGAAAGTGACAGGATACAGTCAATTCTTTTTGATATTTGGCAGAACCTATGTGTCAGGATGCACTGGGAATTTACTTCTTCCAACTTCTACCACCATGTATTTAGCCAGCAAATTCTGAATAAAGGTTGCTGTTATGTGTGGTTGAGAGAGCAGAGTTAGACTGATCTGTGAGTTAGACTGGTGAAACAAATGAGGGTTAGTGAAGGATGCAGAATGGTAATAATGGGGCCGGTTACACATGAGGGAAGGCACTGCCTTATCCTCAGGAATACTAGATCTGTTTTCATTTGAGGGGTGAGACATATTGCCTTTAAGAGCCATGCTCTGGGGGAGGGAGGTGGCAAGAAAGAGCTATACCCCAGGGTAGACCCAGGGAGGCTGGAGATATGACTTCAGGAAGCTCAGGTGGCAAGAAGCTATACCCTCTGAGGCAGAATCCAGGGCTGAGGGGGATTGTGGCTCCTGGCCCCCTCTGAGGTGATCACACCTGCAGAGACGAGGAGGAGCTGAGGCGATCTCTGTCCGAATTGGCCGACCCCAACCCAAAGGTCATCAAGAGGGTCAGCGGGGGCAGTGGCAGCGGCTCCAGCCCTTTCCTGGACCTGACTCCTGAGCCTGGGGCCTCCGTCTACAAGCACGGGCCCCTGGTGCGAAAGGTGCACGCAGACCCTGACTGCAGGAAGAGTATGTGGCCTGTGGTGGGACTGGGGGGATGGATGGGACTGGACCTGCCCCAGACCCCTGACCTGTCTCTGTTCTCCCAGCACCTCGGGGCAAAAGAGGCTGGAAGAGCTTCCACGGGATCCTCAAGGGCATGATCCTCTACCTGCAGAAGGTGCGGGGCTGGTGGGTGGGAAGGCCTGAGGGGTGACGCTGAGCTGCCTCTGGGAAGTGCTGGTGGACTGGGCCAGGCTGGGCAGACTAGGGCCAGGACAAGACGGGCATCCTCACAGGAGGAGTACCAGCCTGGGAAGTCCCTGTCGGAGGCAGAGCTCAAGAACGCCATCAGCATCCACCACGCACTGGCCACCCGTGCCAACGACTACAGCAAGAGGCCTCATGTCTTCTACCTGCGCACAGCTGACTGGCGCGTCTTCCTCTTCCAGGCCCCGTGAGTGCTCGCCTTCTTCCCACCCTCACACCCCTCCCTGGTCCCTGGATAGCTTTGTTTCCTCTCTGGCTGCACCTTAAAACAGGACTAGCGTCCCTGGGCAGGAACCCCAGGCCCAGTTCCTAAGTGGCTCTGCTGTCCTGCAGGAGCCTGGAACAGATGCAGTCCTGGATCACGCGCATCAACGTGGTGGCAGCCATGTTCTCGGCACCCCCCTTCCCAGCTGCTGTCAGCTCCCAGAAGAAGTTCAGCCGCCCTCTGCTGCCTAGCGCTGCCACCCGCCTCTCCCAGGTAGCTCCTCCTCTGTTGACCTGGTGCAGGTGGAGTTGAGAGGTGCAGGTCCACATTTAAGGTTGTTTTCAAGATTATGTAAACATGTGGGGTGTGTGTGTGTGTGTGTGTGTGTGTGTGTGTGTGTGTGAGTGATGATGATGTTTTCCCCCAATTGCACAAAGGTACTATCAGTGCCCTTGATTGTGCCCTCCCTGGCCACTAGGAGGAGCAAGTGCGGACCCATGAGGCCAAGCTGAAGGCCATGGCAAGCGAACTGCGGGAGCATCGAGCTGCCCATTTGGGCAAGAAGACCCGAGGCAAGGAGGCTGAAGAACAGCAGCAGAAGGAGGCCTATCTGGAGTTTGAGGTGAGCCTCTACCCAGGCACCTCTGTGGCCCCTGTCCCCTTCATTGAGACTTCTGTGTGCCCACCCCTCCTTTCCCCAAATTCAGACTGGTGGTAAAGGGAATACATCTAGGAGTGAGACCAGCTGGGTGACTGTGGGTCAGTCTAACCTTAGTTTCCTTCTGTAGAACAGTGGTACCATTTCATACCCATGAGGGAGTATGAAGTGAGATGAGGTGCCAAGGGCTTAGGTCCCCCAACCCTGGTCAAAGGCTCAAGAAATATTTGCTGTAAAAATTGGAAGCCAGGAGAGAGGCCAGAGAGGATCACCTCACAGTCCTTGGGGGCCTTGGGGCTCCAGAGGCAGCAAACCTCTTCCATGTCCCTGTCAGTACTTGGACTCAGGGGCCCAGGCGGGAGTGGGAGGGGAGAGGGTGGAAGCAGTTTCTCACAGCTGCCTCTCTGCCTCAGAAATCCCGCTATGGAACATACGCAGCACTGCTTCGGGTCAAGCTGAAGGCAGGCAGCGAGGAGCTGGATGTGGTGGAGGCAGCACTGGCCCAGGCCAGGAGCGAGGAGGACGGAGTCCCCCCCTCTCACTCCAGTCCCTCCCTGCAGCCCAATATGACCAGCCAGCCCCGGATCCAGCGCCAAGGCTCAGAGCCTCGGGCAGGGAGTGGGCGGCGGAAGCCCTGAGTTGGTTGGAGGGTGGGTGGTGGTGCCCGCTGGGCATCTGCATGAAGTGGCCCTGCCTGAGCCCGGCAGGCCTCGGGCCACCCATGAGGGTCTCGGGCCCAGGGCCCTACCGCGCCGGACGCGGTGTCCGGGGCAGGGCAGGGCTGGGCATGGGCCTCAGGAGCCTGGGCTAAGGGCCCTTCCAAGACTCCCATTTTGTGATAATGTTTTGCACTTTTTCGTACAGGGGGGGTGGGGGTGGGAGGGGCCAGGGCCCAGGGCCCCTGGATTTTTGAAGCTTTTTTTTTTCCTTTTGTGGGGAAGGGCTGACGATGTTTCTGCTTTCTGCTGAGACCACCCCACCCCGACACCAGCAATTCCCCTCTGCCTGGGGCCTGGCTGAGACAGAGGCCAGGAGTTGGGGCTAAGCTGGTTTTTCTTCCTTCCTCCCCAAGGGCTCACTCTCAGTTTCCAGAGGTGGAGAAAAGGGCGTCCAGGCCGAGGCCCCTGGCCTGTGAGGCCCCTGTGTGCAGGCCGGTAGCACAGTCTGGCTTGCCCTCTGCAGTGGGCCCTGCCCTTTGTACAGCCTCCACCCCCATTAAATCTGCTCTGGACTTGCTGGCTGGGCCTCTTCCTTTCCTCTCTTCAGGGCCTGACATGATGCCGGGGCAAGAAGCTAGTTCTAGGGACCAGGGTCACATCAGGGATTGCCATAAACCAGGGAGGGTACTAAGCCCTCTTTTATTTGCCTCAAATGAGGGATGGGCTAGGGTGTTAAATAAGAATTGGAACAAGTGGGGATGCTGTACAGAGGGTACCCAGGGTGGGGGCAGCAGGTCAGTGCACCTGAGGCTGGGGGTGTCCATGGCAAAGCCCACCTGGTGGCTCAGGGGGTGGGCCCAGCTTCTCTGCCTCCTGTTCCACTGACTGGCTCCCATAAGCACTATCTTCCTTCACTTCTGCTATGGGGAGGGAAGAAGGGAACAGAGGACAGTTAGGGCATTAGGCATCCTACCCCAACAACCCCAGACCTTTCCCTCACTTAGGCAGAGCCCCTTACCTGTGCTGGGCAGCTTATCTCGGGGCTCTGGACCCCTCAGCAGCCTCACTCCTTCTTCTAGGCCCATGTCAGACAGAGCATCCAGTAGACCTGCCAAGTCCCCTCCAGCTAGCTGAGGAGAAAAATGGGGCTTGAGGTCTGAATTATGGTTAGGAGGCCAAGGAAACATCTGGGATTGGAAGAAGGAACCTGGGGGTTGGAGAGGAGCTGGGGGCTCACCTCGTAACTGCGCAGGAGGCTGCCACTAGGGGAGGCTGTCTTTCGGTACGTGTCCACCAGACTGCGAAGCCCCAGGCGTTCTGCCAGTTCTGCCCAGCTGCCCTGGGCTCCTGGCCCATCCAGCAGCTGCTCCAGGTTCTGCAAGGCCGCATCTCCAAGTGACAGCCCTGGTCCTGAGGGTAACACACATAAGCTCAATTACCTCAGAAATGGACAAAGGTTTAGACACTCTGATATCTGCTCTGCTCCATGGTTATCTGAAAGAGGAGGCAGAAAAGGCTACTGTGGCAATGGAGGAGGGAACAGAGGGGGAGAAGAAAGCTCCATGTGGAAGGAAGGCCGTGGGGTCAGGTGCTGATGGGCCACTCACCTGCTGGGCTGGGAGGGGTCAAGGGAGGCTCCATGGTGTCCTGAGCAGCATTTAGTAGTAAGGTTTTCACCTGGGGAGACAGCATCAGCTTTCATCACCTCCCACCAAGTCTGGAAGCCCAAGTACCCTGTAATCCAGATACTCTGGGCCCCAGCCCCAAGCCCAGTGCACTATCCCCTGGTCATCAGGCCCAGGCTAGCTTACTTTGGTGCTTCGAGTGAGGTCAAGAGGTGTGTGGCCCCGGAAGCTGCTTCGTGTGTCCCTCTCCAGTCCCTCAGAATCTGAGTCACTACCAGACGTTGGGGGTGAAGGCAGTGGGCAAAGGGGTTCCTCATTTTCTGCATGGATGTCAGCACCTAGAGATGGAGGTGGTCATGGGGAGGAGACCTGAGGTCCACATTAGTGACTGCCGAGCAGGGGTTCTAGAAAGGACTCCTCCTGTCTCACTCTGCTCATATGCCCCTGAGGATGAAACTGACCAGCTTTTAGAAGGAGGCGGGTGAGGGTTGGGGATCCCAGGCCGGCTGCCAGGTGGAGGGGTGTGTTCCCAGCAAAGGTACGGGCGTTCACATTGGCGCCAAGCTATGGAGTAAAAGGGCAAGGATGTCACTGGTCGTTCCACAACCCTTGACCCTACCCCCTCTGTTACGTCCCACCTTCTCACATCATTGATTTGTCCTTACTTTGGTGACCAGATGGGTGACCAGCCCCAGCTCCTCCATCTCTGTGGCCAGATGCAGGGCTGTTCGGCCTCCCTGTCGCTCTGCAGCCTCCACCTCTGCTCCGTCAGCCACCAGTAGATCCAAGCACTCGGGGCTGCGGGCACGGACTGCCAGGTGTACTGGGTACAGCCCTAGGGATGCCCAATACTAAGTCAGCAACTGTGACCCCAAATTGGCCCCCAAGCCATCCTTGATCAGCAAGCCTTGACACTTCATGTCCCACTGAGAGGTCACCAGATATTGTCTCTGGTCTCTGGCCCTATTCTTCTGACCCAGATCAAGTGGAAACTCACCCTCAAAGTCTGGCATGTGCAGTAAATGGGGCACGGCTGGACCCCCACTCCGAAGCAGTGCCCGCAGCAGGTCAGGGGCACCAGCCCTCAGTGCAAGGTGCATGGCGGAGTCCCCATGCCGATCCAGCAGTGTGGGGTCTGCACCCACCTGCAGCAGGAAGCTCACCACGCTGGTCTGCCCAGTGATCACTGCCAGGTGCAAGGGCGTCTGGGGGTGAAGGAAGGGTGAGCCAGGCCTACTTCTGCTAGAACACTGATCCTTCAACAGCAACTTCCCTCATCAGTAGGTGCCTCTCACCTGATGGAGGTTGTTGGTGAGGTTGACAATGCCAAGGTGTGGGACATGATAGATCACGTGGGCTATCTGTTCAATGACGTTTGTCTGCCCGTGGATGATGGCTAGGTGCAGTGGCCTGGGGAGGGGGAAGGCTTAGGCTTCGGTCTAGCAGTCCAGCTACTCAAGAGTGTCCTCTACTCTAAGAGTGTCCTCTACTCCATTACTTCCTACATTTCCCAGGATGGAGTCTGTCCAACCCAGATCGTTCCCAAGGACATCGCTGTATGTAAATTTAATCCCAAGCCCTTTTAAAGGTAGACAACTACTATTATTGGACTCTTTCGGAACCACCAAATCTGAAGTTCAGAGACATCAGGCACCTTTTCGCTCCTCCTCCCGCTACAGTGCACCTTGGGGAGCCCCATCCCTCCAGGCCCCCCTGCCCTCCAGGCGGCCTACGTGTCTCCGTTCTCATCCTGCGCGGTCAGCAGGTGGCGCTGTCCTGCCAGCAGCGAGCGCGCGTCCGCGGTGACGCCGTAGTCCAGCAGGGCTCGGGCGCTGCGCTGCGCCAGGCCGAACAGGCGCGCATTGTATTCGCGGGCTGGGGGCACAAGGGGCGTGGGGTGGGCGCGGACCATGGGCACTCCGGGATCCCCACCCTGTGGCCCTGTGTTCAGGAGGCGTACCTCGCGCAAGCATCTCCGGGGCTGGAGGCTCACTCTGGGCCGCGCTCGGGTCGACTGGTTCCTCCTTGGCATCAGCGCCAGGCACCGAGGAGCCCATCTGTGCCCCGCCCCCGCCTCCGGGATAGCAGCCCATTTGGGCTGCGCCGGACGAGTAGGGGTTGTAGACCACGGAGGAGGGAAAAAAGCCCAGGCTGCTACCTGTGGGTACGGGCAGGGTTGTGGGCAAGAGGCACTAGACAGGGCTCCAGACCGCCTTGGCCCCATCATCCTCTCCTTCCACCAGCACCTCCGTTCCCACCACCGTCATTCCCTCACCTCCTCCTCCAGCTCCTCCATAACCCCCAGCAGGGCCTCCAGAGCCTCCACCCATGTGGGAGCCACCCCCAAAGGGCTGGGAGAAGGTGGGCAAGGCCTTTCGTCTCTTCCGCTGCACCTCCTCCTTGTCTGAGGACAGAGGGAAATGGAATGTTAAAGACTCAACCCAAGGGCCAGATCCCCCAAGTTTGGTAAGGGTTCTTCCTCAAAAAGCTGAACCCTCCCACCCTTGACTTGGCTTCTGGGGTCCTCAATCCAGTTCTTAGAACCATCTGGTCAAACCCCAGGTTAGTGGATCCTACTAACTTCTGGGGTCCACAACCCGGCTCTACCTTCCACCAGTGGGTAATAGGTGAACTGTTTGGAGTCGGAGACATCCCCTCCACGCTTGCGTTTCAATTGCAGGAACACAGTAACTGGGCGCTCAATCTTCATCTTGTGATAGGGGGGTGTCCGGAACACAATAGCATACTGCGAAGAGGACATACAGGGGATCAATGAGACCTTTGCCTCCGATACCCCAATGTCCTGGCCCCGGCCCCTCTGTACCTGTTTATGAACATCTGTGGGAGAGAAGTCCCCAAAGGCCTGCCATCCATTTTCATCATCCTCATAGAAACGAACCTCAATATCATCTAAAGAGAAAACAAAAGCCTGGCCACAGCTCCAAGTGGAAACTCCAGGGGGCTCTGCCTCCCTGGTCCTGGGTCCTAGTCTTGACACTCAGTATCTAGAGCTTCCAACCAGGGTTCTAGCCTCACCTTTCTGCACTTTGTCACAAAGCAGGTAAACCTCATCTCCTCCTCGCACAGAGCCAGCTGTCTTGTCCATTCGAGAAATCTTCAGGTTTGAGGCTCCAGGAGACTCTAGGAGACAGGGTACTGGTTAGATGAGATGATATAATAGCCATGGCCCTACACAGAGACAGTTCATATTACTTAACTGAACAACCCTAAGAGATAAAAGGCCTCATATCCCCATTTACAAAAGATGAGAGTGAGCCTCAGGGGAGAAATAACTTGTTCAACATCACTTAGCTGGTTTTAACCATGTATCACGGCCAAGTTGAAACCCAGGCGTATCTGCTTCCACCCATGGTAATGCCCTGTGCTCCCTTGGCCACCGAGGCCTGGCCCCTCAATGGTCAGGAAACTCACTGCTGTCATGGATGGGGTGGGAGATGACCGGCTTCAGGGGCAAGGAGAAGGAGCCGTCGCTGGCTCGGAGAAAGGCAGAGAAGCGCAGCCTCACAATACTCAGATCCATCACTTTCTTTAGCTCTTTGGCCTCTTGCTCCAGCTCCCGCCGCTCAGCATCTGGGGAGTGGGCACATGTGTGTGACACCAGGACTCTTTCTTCTCCATGACCATTTCCCATTACTTCTCTGTCCCCATCTCTCACCTGTAAGGCCCTGGGGCCTGGAACGGAGTCTCTGCCTCTGAAGTTTCTGCGTCATGATCTCCATCATGTTCTTCTTGGTCACATGTAAGACTCCCAGGTTGTTAAACCTGAGGAATGGAGAGAAGGCCTCAGAGTCCTTTGCCAGTGCACCCTCCCTACCTCCAGGGCTCAGCCTCAGCCTCTCTAGGCCCTACTTCTGCAGGAAGCTTTCCTCTGGAAATCTTTTCCTCTAGGATCTGGGGCCAACTAAAATCTCCCCTCTTGGTAACATGCTAAGCTCACAGAAGTGGGCTAGGGGCCAGGACTGGCAGGTAGTGAGGGGGTACCCTAGGGGGAGTCAGGGGTAAAGAACACCTACTGAGCAGTCATGTCCTTGGGCCCCACAGACACAGTGCAGACCCCCAGCTCTGAGCACTGCTTGCCCACCAGGCTGTGGGCATGAGCGCGAGGTGGGTCGCTGTGTGTTACCAGGTCCACCTCGATCTTGGCTGGTCCCTCGTAATTGCAGATCTGGGAGGGGCAAGGATTGTCAGTGATGCTTCTTGACCTGTCCATGAACCCACCCTCCAGCCCTTCTGGTTCACCTTGACTGTGGGATAGGTCTTCCGGCCTTTCTCACTGGAGGCACCTGGCAGTCCTCCATGGGAGGGTCCTTCACAGCCATAGCGAAATCTGAAGCCTCGCTGAAGGTTCATGGTTAGAGTGACATTATGAACAGGAAAGACCACCCCAGGCAGCCACACCTCTGGCCAGCAGTAACCATAATAACCAGCTGCACAGTGAACCACAACTAAACCACTGTGACCAGCAGCTGTCAACAGACCCCACCTGCAGTGACCTCCCGGGTGGTCATTCACATGGTCGCCGAGCTACAATGACCAGCTGTCCCCTAAAGCTACAACCACCCCACACCATAGCTTCTGCTCACTCACCTGCTTGGGTTGCTCCACAATCACCAGGTAGGGACCATCAGCTGGGGACAGAGAGGCCTGGCTGTCAGGCTCCACTAACCCATCCCCCAGGCAAAGGGCACATGGCCCTCCCTCCCTGCTCCCTCACCAACAACAGGGAAGTGAGGGGGCTTGCTGACCTGTTTCTGGGGCCGGCTCCTTGGACTCCACAATGGAAGAATTGAGTTTGAAATCATCATAGTCAATGAAACGATCTAGAGCCTTGTTGGAGATATAGATTAGGGGGGAGTCAGATCAGTAGATTCAGAGCCACTCCCACAGCCTTCTGCCTCTAACTCTAAACCTCTGTAACCACTCCTCCCTCCACCTCCCCGGACCCCTGAGAAAGCAGAGTTTGCAGAACGCCAGGCAGGCAGAGCGTGGCCAAGAGGAGCCTCCGGGCAGGCACTGTGAGATCTGGGAATAGGGCAGGTCAAGGCGACAGCAGAGAGATGTAGGGCAGGCTGAGATCAGCGGAAAAGCAGACAGGTGTAATGGAGGGAGGGCGATCCAGTGACACGCAAGCAGGCAAGGAGGTCGCCGGCTCGCGTCCTGGCCAGGTGGCGTGACTCACTTGGTCGTAGCGACTCATTTGGTCGTAGCAACTGTCCATGTCTCTGGGCAGGGCCCGGCTCTGTCTGCAGCTCCAGCCGGGTTCTACTCCCCAGAGTTTCAGGTGCGCGACTTGGGGGGAGGCGGGCAGCGAGAAGAGACGGATCAGGCCGGGGGTGGGCGGGAGAAGGGGGCTCCAGGTTTGGGGGAGGGTCCGATCTCCGCCAGCCGCCCGTCCGAGTGTGGCGGGCGAGATCCGGAGCTGGGCAGGGCCGGGGAAGGGACAGGAAAGTTAGAGCAGCTCAGGAAAGTCCCGAAAATACCAGGGGGGGCGGGGCCGGAGGGGGCGGGCCTGGAAATGACGTCACTGCCCCGCTCCCGCGGCGGGAGGGGCCGCAGGCCCGGGAGTCCTGCAGCCTCATCCCCAGCTGGAGGGGACCTCGGCCGTGGAAGTCCTCTAAGGCCGGCGCCGGGGACTGGGGGGGGGGGGGGGGGGGGTGGTGGTCTGTCACGAGGGAGCCTCGCAGTCTGGGGCCACGACCACCTGCTGGCCCCCTCCCCTCCCCGGCCTGGAGCAATCTTGGGATTTTCTGCCAGGAGGGAGGCCACGGCTGATTCACCCCGGGGGCTTTTGGGGGGACATTCCTGCCGTAGGGAGGCCTCCTCTCTGTAGGCGGGGTTCTTCCCAGCGGGGCCCCCAGTGTTCTGCCCCTAGAACGGAACTCTGGGGACCACAGCGGAAGGTGTCTCCTTAGGATGGGTTCTTCTGCCCTCTCCCCGGAACATCTCAGTGGCCGACCATTGATTCCTATACTGCCTAGGCTCGGAGTGCTCAGGAGACGCGCCCCACTCCAACCCCATAACTGTGTGTAATCCGTGTGTGTCTTCACCACAGGTACACAAATGTGTTTCGGCCTGTGCGCCTTGGTGCATGTTGTGTGTGCACGATGTCAACACGTGTGTGCAAGTGACTGTGCGCAGGTGAGCGTCCCTAAAGCTCCTCTGTGGGTGCAAGTCTCCAAGTGTACGGCACAGGTGGGGCCTGTGCGGGAAGGGGGTGGGTCCCAGCACCGGTGCGGGGAGAGCGCCCCTGCATGTGCACTTGTGTGTCCGGGTCCCAGTACACGAACGCTGCTGGGGTCCGCCGGCCTTCGTGCAGGTGGGTGTCGGGGTCTGGGTTCCCGGTTGTCGCACTGCATCCCTTTGTCAAATTCGATGGCCCGCTCCGGTCCGGCCGAGGGCTATCAGTGAAGGGCCCTCCACTAGCCCTTCCTCGAGTCCCAGCCACCCAGGATCTGAACGCGGCCACTCACCGCGGCTGCGGCTCCGTTCCCGCTTCGCTCCTGGCCCGACCCGCTTAGGCTGGGTCTCGACACGGATCCAGCTTGCGGGGTTCCGACCAGGGAAAGTCCCTTATCCGCTCCCCCAAGGGGGGAATTCCCGTGACGTTTCCGCACGTCACACCCCATGCTCTTTTTCATTGGCTGAAAGTTTAACTCTTGGGCTCGCGCGTCCAATCGGGAGCGACTCTGGAGCTCCCTTAAGAGGGCAGACCCGTGGAGGTCGGTTTGGACCGTCCCTCGAGCGGAGGTTCTGGCCCAGGATTGGCCCGAGGCGGGACCTGCTGGCCGAGCACCAGCCCAGGCCGAGGGCACGGCCCGGTGTCCTCGCCCGCCCAGGCCTGCCCCAGCTCCTTCTGCACCTAATGTTTGCTTGACCGCATCCGAAGCTGGGGAGCCTCAAGGGGAAGCCTCCGGCCCCGACTCTCTGTTTCCCTCCTCCCGGATCCGGCCCCGCTTCCGGAAAGAGTTGGGGGGGTGGGGGGGAGAGCTGATCCTCGGTCCCGGGGCGCCCTCTGGCGGGCCTCTCCGCACCCGAGGCACAAGGAGGCTCCGAACCCCCCGCCCTCTTTTCTTAGCCTTCGCGCCTCACGGCCCCTGGAATCTAACGTTTAACTAAATGTCAGCTTCACATGGGACCTGGCTTTTTCGAGTTGGGAGTTCTGTGCAGCAAGTTTTTGTTGTTATGTACCGTCGAGTCACTTGTGATTCATAGCGACTATATTATATGAACCCTGCTCTATCTTGAGCCAACCTCATTCATTGTCTCTGACACATCTACAGCCCCCCCCCCCCCATTGCTCCAGTCACTGAGTCAGTCAGTCCATTTCATCCACGGTAGGGGAATGGATATTTATCTGGAAGACTTCGGCTTCCCCCCTCGAATATAATCTGGAATGTTAGAATTGAAGAGGTATCCAAAGCCCAGGTTTTAACTTATTCACTATAGACAAACACATCTTCCTGTCTGCTTGAGCACATAAGTGGCAGCGGGGTCAAGGCAGTATTTCAAAGCACTGACTTCATAGCTATCCATGAGGGTCTCTGGTTGGTATAAAAGCTCTTTTTTTTTTTTTTTTTAGCAACCTCCCTTCCTGGAGTCCTCGCTCTGATGCTGGGGTAAGAACAGGGCCTGTTTCAGGTCTTTCCTGACCTGATGTCCTACATTGGTGCTGAGTAAAAGGGGACTCTTGGGGCCTTTCATTGAGGCCATTTCTCTCTCTTCATCTTGCCCGCACTTGAAATGTGCCAGCTTAAGGTACTTAATGTTGTTGTTGTTGTTATGTGCTAGTCGAGTCGCCTGTGACTCATAGTGACCTGTGTACAACAGCCCTAAACCCTGCTCTATCCTGTGCCAATTTCACTGTCTCCGACATACCCACCCCTATTACCCCAATCACTGAATCAGTCCACGTCATAAAGGTTCTTCCTCTCCTGTGCTGTCCCTCCACCCTCCCGGGCATGATGTCCCTCTCCAAGGACTGGTCCCTCCTTGTAACATGTACATAGTATGTCAGACGAAGCTTCAGAATCCTTGTCTCCACGGAGCAGCCTGTAATAAATTATAAATTGTTATACGATAATATAATTTTTAGTGCAATATTCAGAGTTTCTTCTGACATCCATCTTGGTCTTTTCTTCCTCCTCTGCCTTTGTAATGACCTTTTGCATTCTTCCTGGTTGATATTCTTGATATCCTCCCACAGCTCCTCTGGTCTTTGCTCATTAATGTTCAAGGCCTCAAACCTGTTCCTGAGATAGTTCTGAAATTCAGGTGGGATAGACCCAAGGTTAAATTTTGGTTCTTGTGGATTTAATTTTCCTTAGCTTCAGCTTGAACTTGCATATGAGTAGTTGGTGATCACTTCCTATTTCTCACAGTTTATATTGAGCTTCTCCAGAGATTCTTTGCACAGATGTAATTGATCTGATTCCTATGCACACCATCAGGTGAAACCCATTGTATAGCCTGCATTTATGTTTCTTTTTTTTTTTTAAGGTTTACAAATGTTTTATTTTGTTATTATCCAAGTACCTTTGAAAAGAACATTGTACAAGTGAGGGTGAGGAGGGCTGGGGCGGCTGCCCGCCGGCCCTGCCTTAGAAATGGACGTATTTACATGGGGCGTGGGGGGGGGGGCTGTGGGTGGCCGTCCTGGGGAATGGTCCCTGCCGTGGATTCACACAGTGGCAGGCAAGGGACAGGTTGTGTCGAAGGCACTTGGTGACATGTACAAGTGGTGGGCCCACGAGGGGGGGTCCCAGTAGGGAGTGGGCACCCCGGAGGCGAGCCCCCACCCCAGGCAAGGCC